CGGGCAAAGGTTCTCGGATTCGATTCCCGGGTCGAGCAAAGTATTACTGGTTTTTATGAAATGTCAGCGCAAAATGTAGCGCGGGGTCTGAAAATGTGCACGGTATGGCAATAGGCTCACCCCCTATTACATGGTCACATAGTAGCACATATCATGGGTGTTACATTGTACAGTTGCATTGAGTGCCGTAATGTGCACCTCTGCCTACCCCTTCGGGGATAAAAAAGCGTGATGTTATGTTCTTATGAGTAGCCTTGGTCAATCGTTAATATCTACCAGTCTATTTAAATAAAACTGATATAAAATTTTACAATAGAACACAGTACATAAAAAGCTATTGAATACCTAATTGTAAATATTTTGATTAATTGGGCTTTATAGAGAAACAACAATATTAAATGGAACGATAATATGAACAACGTAGTAAATGGAAATAATGTGTGTCCATATTACCATTGGTTTAAAATGAACAGGTAGTATTTTGTTAATGGCTACTAGATAAACCCGATTATTTCGTATATACATATGTCCAATTGCACAATCTAGCTTTTCAGGTTAAATATATATTTTAATCAATTTAATCTTTCGGTAAAATTGTGTTATTCCGGGAGTTTGGTTATACACGGAATGTGTTTTTGAGTTACAACTTTTTATAAATATTTATTTATTTTTATAGCGAAAAACCGTTAAAAGATTTTCATGTTGCAGCAATATTTTGTGGAAGGTCGCGCATAGTTATAGAATTTTGAATATGAAAAATTTAATTTGAACCCAATTGAATACATGAATACATCATCTTAAACAGTTTCGTCATTCAGAACAATACTATAAAAACACATTCTTGTTTAAATCATTGGCTAATCAGAATGTCTCATATAGACCACTTTTGTAATCAAAAATATGTATTCCATTACCGATTGTTTATGAATTTTAATTAAATTCACCTTGTATACTTAAAGACACACATGAGATATTTTGGCATAACAGCTACATTTAATTTATAATCTGTAACAAAATCTGCATAGAAATTAATTCCAGTTATAACCGGTCTCTTTGTCACTCAAACGGAACTTTGTTTGAGTAACAACGACTATAAAGTGTTTAAAATATTAATAAATCACAATGTAATTACCCGATGTATGTAATAAACAAGTGGCGGAGACCGTTAAGAGCTTTTATGTAACGCTATAATGGGCTGAAGAGGCATTTTAAAGGCTACATATAGGCTTTGTCCTCGTCCATAATCAACGAACGAAAATAAAACTGTCATATTTTAACTGAACTAAAAATAAACCGGTTATATAGAATTACCAGTTTCATACCTTTGAGTTATTTTTAACGAAATTCACGGAAATAAAGAGTAAATAACTTCTCATTTCTAGGAAATTATACCTCTCTTTTCGTAGTATCCTCCCTCGGTTTAGTAATAAATCCAAAATACACAATACTAAATTTATGGATAAACAGACAACTAATTTAACTTTACACATTGGAGCCGGGGTTAGACCAAATTAAGTGAATAACAACAGAGTTGAATGACCAACAGTTTTTTGATTGACTAACTGTTTGTTTTATAGGGGACGTTTAAAAATATGTTGTACCAAGTGAATAAAATAAATTAATAATGGAAGAGTGTGTAATTTTGTATATAAATAAATTTTTCTTTTTAGACATAACTAATTTTATCTTATTACTATCTATTGTTAGAAAATAAAAATATAATTTGGATACACAACTTACTCATTCAACTGTTCAAATGCGTTACTCGCTATTACTTATATTATACATACGTTTTGTGTATCATTTTATCTTGTATTATTATAAAAATGTATTATAACCTGTTTTAATTTTTTTTCTTCATTTGGGCTCAGTTGGTCGTTATTAAACGTCTGAACTCAGGGTCATAGGGTCAATTCCAATGTCACGACAGTACACTACCATATAGGTACAAGTGATTTGTAGTGGTGGTGATTTATTATAGTTTTTATATATAAACATTGTGATTATATATATTGGTGGTAAGGCATGGTATAATTGTGTTGTAAAATAAATGTTAATTGAATTTTAGTAATCGTATACATACTCAAAATCACTTATCAAATGACTTTTAAGGATTAGCATTTGTTATTTGTGTGCTTCTTTGTATTTTTTCTGACTTTGAATACGTTGATAATATATGAATGATCAGGTGATAAGTAGGAATAAGAATCTATAGGATTCAAAAATTCCAAATCAATATTTATTTATTTATTTATGTATTTAAAATATAAGATAACATAACAGCACGCCTTTTATCCCCAAAGGGGTAGGCAGAGGTGCACATCATGCCATTGTACAATGTAACACCTACTTTTTTGGCACATGCTGAACGGTATACTAATTCACCGCAGACTAGGGACATAAACATGTATCCAGTACCTGAAAAAGTAAAGATTTTTCTTAGTTTCTTTCTTTAAAACTTACGTCTTCTAAAATTACCGAATCTGATTCGTGATCAATGAATTTGACACTGATCTTATCGAAAAATATGTTAAAATTTAATATACCTACACACAATCATACAACTACCGTTTTTAGCTGATAGTTAATATTCAAATTAATTTAGCTTAAAGCGGAAACTATGATTATCATACAGACAGTTACAATATTCGATGAAGATTAAAATTCTGATATTTTTAGCAAAACGCATAATTTTAACCTATAAAATTACAGGTCATGTTAAAAACAATCTTATCGCTTAATTTGCCTAAGTGTATACGACTAAGTCTTCCTAAATGTTAATTTCTAGATTTTGAAATTTTGTTTTCATAAAATAATTAAAAATTAACATATTTTATCAAGGTAAAAAATAAAGAAACCTTGTTTCTATCTCCAGAAGTGAATCGTTGATACTGCGTGGGATAAGAATTTCATATTTTTGTTTCCTTCCGTTTTTGCAGTTGCACCTATTAATACGAAAAAAATACCAGTTATATTTTTCATCATCATCACCTGAGTGCCACCCGCGTAAAGGATAGCCATAATCCCTCCACTCTTGAGGCTTGAGGCAATCCCCAGAACAGACGCTCAGCTACGAGACCTAACTGCGATCAGTTCGGTCTCGTAGCGGAGCATCTGTTCTTTAGTATCTTGCTAGATATATCAAAATTGTAATATGATATTATAACACCTCACGTGTTTAATCACATTATGCACACAGTGTAGTGGTAGTAAATTAATTTATTAAAGCATATTTCTATGGAGTGTAAATTATTAAGAGCAGGTTTCATATCGTTTGTGTTCATCAGATCTGTTCGTTGGAATAACATTAAGTTTTTTGCCGCAACAAAATTCTAGTTTTGGAAGCCCCTAATTTCCTGTAGGTACTAGTATTATTACATAATCTAATATTTTTGTTATTCGCAACACGTAGGTAGTTATGGTATTTTTATTTCAATGACTGGCGAAGACTTTTTGTATTCATAAGTTTGATTATAGACACGAGAACCAAATCAGCTTGTAAAAAATTGATGAAAAAAGTTAGGCAACGTACTGCGTGTAAAATTTTGTATTTTATTATAGTTTTTTAATATTCCTTATTGGTGTGTTTCAACTAGATTGCACTACGCCGATGGTGATCCGATGTTTTTGTATTTATTTTGTGTTGAAACAGTTTCTGCGAAATGCCTTTCTTTCATTTATTTTTTTCTGTATTCGGAAACAGAAATAAATTGGTTTGAAATAATGGAGTTTATGTGTCGTGTACCTATAGTTTTTTAATATTCCTTATTCGTGTGTTTCAACTAGATTGGACTACGCCGATGGTGATCCGATGTTTTTGTATTTATTTTGTGTTGAAACAGTTTCCGCGAAATGCCTTACTTTCATTTATTTGTTTCTATATTCGGAAGCAGAATAAAATGGTTTAAAATAATGGAATTTTATGTGCAGTGTACGTATAAATGTACAAACATATATAATTTTCTATATTTAGAATCCTAAAACCCTGACAACTGGTACAAATCTGTACACCGTGCAAATCAACTAGACATAATAGTAATATTTATCCTCAATACAACATGATATGTTGTTCTGGAAAAGGCAAAAGGAATAGAAAATCCAACAGATATTGAATGACCACAATACAATATTATTTACCTACGCGAAAACATAAACTAAACCAACGGCGCTAACGTAAACAATAGGAGCGGCCATTACACACAAAATTGTAGAAATCTGACAAGAAGTTATGTGTGTGAATCCTAAACAAACACTTGCATTAATCAGAAATGTTTAATCATTTCGAGCTCGTAAAATAACTTTCGAAATCAAATAACTCAAATGAAGTTCCTAATTACGAGACGGAAACACAAGCCACTCCCATTTTAATTGCATTCTCCTGCACTTAAAAATATCCTGAAGTTTCAAAGATTATTAAACTGAAAACGTTTTAAACATAGATTAGTAAGCAATAAAAAGCAATCGAGGCAGAATATCGACGATAATGAATTTTCATGTTGCAGTTATTTTCATTTTCTCGATACGCCTCGATTGAATGGATTATATTCATTTCAATCCAAGGATAGTCTCATTTAATTTAATCTCCAGAGACTACATACCGTAGCATTGATAAGGAAGTCCAAGGAGATTTGTTATCTAATAAATATACCACAGATATGGAAGCGACTAGATACCGTACGCTTATCGAACGTGATCATGGTTCTACTGTGTTTCTTCCGTACCTACTATATTTTCATTCAAACGACATAAGGCGGAAGAATTAACTATAATAAATTCGATTAAAGCGCTAAAAACCTCAAAATCTTCATAAATTTTTACAAACTTTAAAAACATTATTATTCACGTCTCCAAATAAATACGTAACACAACTTTAAGTTGATGTTATTATTTAATAAGTATTGAATTCATCTAGTTTCAAAATATCTGTGTCGTTGACCCGTATGTCCAGTTACATTAAGATTAGTGGGCTACTATGTTTGTAAACATTGTTTTTCCTTCAGTTGCGGTGGCGCTGTCATTCTTCATTTGCTGGGCGCCCTTCCACGTGCAAAGGTTGCTGGCCATCTACGGGAAAAGTTTAGAACACCCTTCTGATACTTTCTACTTGGTAAATCATTGTTTTATTATTAAAATAAGATATTATCAGAATGGTTTTATGTAACCCATAGTTATTTTTGATCTGAGGAGGTTGACTTTGAGATGGGTTCTGGTTTTGACTGTCATTTATCTGAAACGAATCATTTCTTAATGTTAAAGTTCCTTTGATTTTTAAACTTATTGGCTTTAGCCGTCCTTCGCAAGCACTTGGTTTATTTTAGTAAGAGAATATTAAATTGCTAATAAGGTTTTCTTCAATAAACTAGGCTATGAAATTTCGTAGGAAAATTGACCAGAATCAGTATTAACTGCAATAATTCACTAGATATTTGTGCGAAATCAGATTATCATTTATCTATAGAGCTCCTGGATCCCCTTCTCTTTAGATTTGTCAGCATTCAGATGATTTATGATGTTGGTATTTATTGTTTGTTGTGTGTGCAGGTCTACATCGTGCTGACGTTTTTGTCGGGAGTGCTATATTTCCTGTCAACCGCCATCAACCCGTTCCTGTACAACATCATGTCGAATAAGTTTAGAAACGCCTTCAAGGTGAGTTTTTGTTACATTCATGATTGATTTCCTTGTATTGTTACCCTCAAAGACGCCATTTTTCATTAAAAATGACAGTCTTTGTTGTTTTTTAACCTTATTTATATTATCATTAAAAATGTAGACAAGGGTTTAATATTACATTATAATGACGGAGCATACTGACCTATTTGTACTTCGGATGTTGTTAAAAACAACTTGATTGCAAAAATTCGAAAATAGCTCGGTTTTTACCCACCATTTTTCGGTTAAAGTTGAAAATTTACAGCATTTTGGTTTTTATCTGCAACATACAGCCCAGGAACGGATGAGAGTGCAAAAAATAAAAAAAAGGGAAGTTTTAGGTACTTTTTGCTATGTGTACATAATAATACTGCATTTTTCCTCTGTAATAAACTGATAACTAGGTAAATTTTAATGTTTTTCATGTAATTTAAATTGAAATTTGCGGCTGAAGTAACTTCATAGAACTTCTAGAACTGCATAGAACTTCTGGTATGAGGTCAACCTATTTTGTTCTTATTTCAACATTGTTTGTTTTTGTTATCCAAATTACTGAATAATATATGCGCTTCAAGCAGAGCAAAGCAGCAAAATGTAGGTCAAAGCACACAATTCCTAAGGGAAAGCCGGAAAAAATTACATGTGACTTGGGTAAAGAATCTCTTTTAATATTCTTACTCTCAGTTGTACCGAATGTACCTACATTACATCCCTAGTGACCGACATATTGTAGTGTACGTATGTAAGTAATAAATAGAGATTGATTCAGTATAAAGACAAGCTATCGCTATAGTAAATTGTAGATATGGTTTTTAACGAAGCCAAAGTTTTATTTTATATGGTGTAAGCCGGTAAACGAGTACACGGATACATACATAGAAGCCGACTAGAAGCGGGAGCATGGTCCATGCTACCAGTGGTTAGGGTTCCAGAGACAGTAATAGGTATTTGTTCTAGGAGAACTGCCTTCTGTATAAGGCCCTTGATCCATTCACCTAACGCCAGCCTCCTATGATGGATTTAGCGGCTTTTAGGGATTAACCCATTGGCCGACACGACTATCAGCACAATGATATCCGAATCCACATTCCACATGTTGCCAACCTCGTGAGATAAGTCTAGATATTTTATTTGTTTATCTTTCTCAGATTTCACGAGGTTCTCATGGGGAATAGTGACATCGCTTATCATCGTGCGGCGTACTTGTCGGTCTATCGGATGTGATATTATTATTGGCACTTTTTAATAATTATTATTTCAAGGATTATGCAATATAGCAATTATTATGAACGTACAGTACCTATGCTTTTAACTTGTTATTTACCTAAGGAAATAATGTTGAGAAGAATTTATTATTTATAAAACAGACCATATTTAATATTTAGGAAAATGATATTAGATACCGTACCGAAGTTTTATTTTTATTACTTTTGGCAGGCTACAAAGCTTCGAACAACAGGTATTTGTTCATTGTTCGTTCAACCTTTGAGCTAGATATTACAATTTGTTAAAATAGAAAATGCTAGATGAAATCATGGAGATCAAATTCCCGTTTGGTTTAGTGGGAGGCCTTTGTTCTGTAGTGCACGTATCCTGGCGATGATAATGATGAAGATAATGACTATTGTCGTTGGGTGAAGTCCCGTAACACCGGACGGCACCTAACTCCGGACACTTGGATTATCTCGACAACTGTTAACAGGAGCGATTAAATTTTTAGTGAAAATCTTAGTTGTCTGTCACTGGGAGACTTCCCTCTAAAAATTGAATCCCTAGCGTTATTAGTTATCGAGATAATTTAAGTGTCCGGCGTTAGGTGCCGTCCGGCGTTAAGAGACCTCTTCCTAAGTATTTTGTTATATAATCCGACTGTATCAACTACAACATTTATTACCGACTTTAAAAAAAGGAGGAGGTACAATGTTCGGCTGATTGTTTATTTTTTGCTTCTATTAAACTGTCAAACACCAAGCGGTCACCGGTGACCGCGACCTATTGTTCTTTAATTGTGTCTATAAAACCGGTACTCGACGAGTTAATACCTTCGAATTTATTTCATTGCGGTATCCAAGACAGTTATTCATGTCCCTAAGACTTCAGTGTTTTCATGGTTGGATCTACTGATCCTGGCTTACTGGAGTTGCAGCGGTTTTGGGAGGTTGTGGCGGGCTTGTCCCAATAGAAAAAAGTCCGACTATATTTCATTTTTATTATTTTTTTTAATAACAGGTAATATGTAAATTTCATTTTTATTTTTACATGGGTGGATGGTTAAATGCTGTTAGAGTCATTCTATTTGTGAACCAGTTCCTAATGTTATGCATGTTTTCAATTTCAGTACCTAATTAGTTTATTGAAATCTAATTTTACTTAAAAGGATAAACTACATATTATTATGTTATTCGCTGTTAAAAACAGTTATTTTTAAACTATATACATTTCATAAATCATTATACAGAAATTGTTACACAATTAATTCAAAATAAATTTTGTTATTAACACACATTCACAAAACTGGTCCATATTGAAAACAAAATTAAACAGGATATAATTAAATACCTTGTGTCTAACAATTACCCACAAACCCTTTGAAAACGAAGACAATTTATTTCAGCTATTCTCGACCTTATGTCCACTAACTTTATATAAGACAATCAGTATCAAAGACTACAGCTATCGATAGCCAACAGATTTGTAGATTATGAACAGTCCCCTACTCTCATATTCACCACAATGACCCATTCTCATACTTGACCCTTAACTCGCAGCGTGAGATAACCGGCTTTAGGAAATTAACCCCTTAAATACACAATCTCTCGACTGAGACTTGAGAAAACTGAATTTTTAATTGAGCGTTAAACACAAAATGTTTGTTGAAGTTAGTTAATTAAAATAATTAAGTTTTTGCGAGGTACAAAGGCTATGTGATTTTGTAGAACTATACCTATTCGATCGACTTTGTCTTTGAAACTAAACAAACCTACTATTTATACCAACACCACAAAGTAGATACTTTACATACAATACAATAGTATTTGAGTTTAAATTCACTGTTTCCACCACATTGGTCCTTGTGAACAAATAATATAATTTATTGACACTAAATTCCATTACTTTGACAGTAAAGGACAAATAAACGCACACAGTTACTTGTTTTAAAGCAAAGCAAAGCAAGATCTAGTAGATCTATATTGAAACCAAACCAAGCCCAATCTAGTACCTAGAATTTAGATATTAGTAGACACTAGATTCAAACTAGCTCCATCCATTGTAGCAATATTGGTAGTTATGTGGCTTGCATGACAATACGGATATGAGGCACCAACGTTCATTGCACATGTGCCTTTACTTGTAAATCTACGAACTAATACTAGGTGTATTGTTTGCAAGTACGTTTTATACGGTTAATTTTGTGTGTACATATTTGTACCTGTCTTTAAACTAATCTTTTGTACTAATATGTGTATATTACACACTTTAAAATTTACTGCTGCTCACTGCCTCGTTGGCTGAGTGGTCGCAAGTGCGACTGCCGGGCAAGAGGACTCGGGTTTGATTCCCGGGTCGAGCAAAGTATTAATGGGTTTTTAAAAAAATGGTAGTAGTAGCACGGAGTCTGGAATTGTGCCCCGTAATAGGAAAATAGGCTCACCCCCTATTACATGGGACTCATAACATAAATAGTGAAAATTGCCTCACCTCTGCCTACCCCTTTGGGGATAAAAGGCGTGATGTTATATTGTTATGTTAAAATTTACTTTATGTGAAGTCAAAATAAGAAATATTTTAAGAGCGAAGCATTTAAACATAAAATATTAATTATTATTACTCTGTAAGTCGTATTTTATTAAAAATATTATTTTATGTTTAACCGATATGTATGTTAATTTATATTACTAAGCATCCATCGAAGAAGAGAATAGAGTATAAAGTACAGAACACGATCTCTGTGTAAAACTGTAAATAGAAATGCATAACAGCAAGACAGTAAGATGACCTTTTTGTATTTGAACCTCATGACAGCACTTACAGCACAGAGAAGGTTAATTAAGAAACTACTACAGGACCTAATATGATAGACTAGCAGACTTGTATGAAGAATATATCATAGAAGAATGATAGATTGCAATAAACTAAGACATAAATTAATAAATTTTAGTTTGAATCTAACAAAACATCGTAGGTTCTCTATACCTTTATACTCTATGGTCATAATGACAATTAAAGTCGGCCATTTTGCACGATATTGGCGGGAGTTGTTCATAAGTAGTACAGTACTGGTTTCATATCCAGAACATGACGTCAGCACATTCAATCCATATATCGATATCACTTCGTTCTTCTTATTGCGAGGAGTATTATACGATTATTACTAGCTCCTTTTAGCACTAATGTTCAAGTTTGTCAAGGTAATTTTCTCGTGTTATGAGTCCGAGCTATATTATTAGATATGTTTTAAGCTAGGATGGAATAATGAAAACAGCCGGTAGCAACATATAGACTACGTATTAGTAGAAGACATATGTGACTGTTATAGTCTCTTCCTACCCCATGAGAGAAAGGTGTGAGGTCATGTATGTATTAGTAGGTTATACTAGATAGGTACTATTTGTTTGGTTAGTGTTTCTAATTGCTCGATATGGAAGTCATTAGATTGAATAAGATTCTATGTTTAGTATTATCTTATGATGACGATGACGATTGCATAACCTTCCAAACAGGATTTTCCTAGTGCAGGCATCCAACTTTATGAGATCAATTTCGTCAGATGAGAGTATGAGAACAGTTTCGTCGGACAATAAAATAAGTCCTAATAATGTCGAACAATAAACTAGTACCTACACTGGATAAGCAAGGTCGTCTATGCGAATTTAGAAACATCTAGGGTACCTAGGTATTTGTACAAGCAAGAAATTCATTTCATTCAGCTTGAACGGCCTTGTTTTGAGATAAACTGCCAGACGAATATGAATTGTTAAATCGTCTCAACTAAGTAT